ACCTTTTTCACTCATCATGTATCCCAAGAACTTGCCTCCTTTAACTGCAAAGGCACATTTCTTGGGGTTCAATCTCATATTTGCCTTCTGCATTATCCCGAACACCTTTTCCATGTCCCGAATATGATCCTCCTTTTCCCGGATCTTGATCACGATGTCATCCACATAAGCCTCCATTGTCACCCTCAACACCTCCTTGAAGAGTATCCCGATCATCCTCTGGAAGGTATCCATGGCATTCTTCAACCCGAACGGCATCACAATGTAGCAAAATACGCTGTCCGAGGTGACGAATGCTGTTTTTTCAGCATCGTCCAAGTGCATGAAGACTTGATGATATCCCCGGAAGGCATCCATGAAACTCAAGAGCTCACATCCAGCTGTCTCATCTACCAAGAGATCGATTCGAGGCACTGAATAAGGGTCCATCAGACAAGCTTTATTCAAATCAGAGCAAGCCACACACATCCTCTAAGTGGATCCCTTTGGTGCAAGCACGACGTTCGCCAACCATTCAACATGGATTACAGGCCGGATGTGCCTAATTTTTAGCAAGGTGGCTACTTCTTGCTTGGTAAATTCTCGTCGCTCGGCCGCCTGGCATCTTTTTTTCTGTTGAATTGGCTTGGCGTCAGGCCGAACGGCAAGCTTGTGGCAGATTATCTCCGGGTCAATGTCCAACATGTCTTCTGGTCCTCGGGCAAACAACATCTGAAACTTCTTCAGAACTTCAATTACACCCTCCCGAATTCCAGCTTCTAGATCCACCCCGGTCGCCACTTTCCGGTCGGGGGGGGGGGGGGGGGAATCGATGTCGATATGCTCCAAGAGAGTAGTCGGTTCAGGGTGTGCCCCAAACTTGGTTCGGTGAGTCTCGACCTCAATGTTGTTACCCGCATCCCTCAGGTATTCATCTTTTTTAAGGCCTCCCAATAGCAGGTCCAGGCTGTTGCTGGATCTGTCCGGGCCACTCCAACCCCAGTATACGTTGGGAATTTAATGCATGAATGCCGGACAGAAGCTATTGCCTCAAGATCTTCCAATCCTGGTCGGGCCAAAATGGCGTTGTGGGCACATTTGATGTCCACCACCATGAATGTCATTCAGACCGATGCCTTGTGAGCGGAGTCTCATCTCGAATCTCAACTAGCAATTGGATAGTTCCCTTTGCCTCGATGCAGTTCCCAGTAAAACTCGCAAGTGGTGTCTTCAGGTGGGCCAACTGGTTCCTCTGCAGCACCATCCTCTCGAACGCCCTTGTGTCTACCAACACCCGACGGATCAGTGCATTGTCGATGCACATGCTTATCACCAATTCGTCTCTGTGCGGACTCGGTGAGTTTGGCCAATCTGCAGGTCCGAACGTGATCAGCTCCATCCTTCCTTTCTTGGGGGGGGGGGGGGGGTGGTGGTGGAGACGGATCCCACATAGAGGCTCCGTTCGAACCTCTTCCGTTCGGCGTTTGAATCCCCTGTTTCCCCACCCCCGAATATAACCTTCACCTCTATCCTTGGCTTTTTCCCCGGGTTCCCCGAACCCTCTGCTTCATCCTTGGGAGGGATGTACGCATCATTTCTGGGCTCAGCATCTCGCTGATCATCCCGTCTCTAACTGTTGGGTTTCTTGAACTGCTTCAGGGGGCCTACAACGTTCGGGTATTTATTCACATATTTATTCAGGTGACCCCGTTGGATCAACTCTTCAATAACAATATGTAATGTTCGACAGAAATGGGTGGGGTGACTCTTCCGTTTATGGTATTTACAGAAGGCATTTTTATCCGATCCCATAAAAGATTTGGTATCAGTTAGAAGGGGAATGTTGTCCTTCTCGTTTTGGAAAATGGTCGCAATGGACATGACAAGAGGGGTGAAGCGCCCTGGCTTCGAAGGGGGTGCGGCCGCTGGGATATGACCCACTCGATCGGCCAATTTTGTTGGTGCAGAAAGTGTAGCCACCTTATCCCGGATCATGATCTCTTCCTCAAGTGCTGCATGTTTTCAGGCCCTATCCAGTACTTCGGCATATGCCGAATGGAGAAAGGCGAAAATGCCACGTTCTATCAAACCAGAGTCTGCGCCCGAATTCTTTTTCAAATCCTTGTACAGTTCTCCTGTTCGGAGGGCATTAGTAAACATGGTGATTACCGTATCCTCCATCATGCTTCCTACCTTTAGGGTTTCGTCTCTCCATCTTTTCAGAAATTGATTGATGGATTCCATTGGTCCGTGCTTAACACTGGTTAGGTAACTGAAGTGCCGTTTTGGGGTTGCACTGAAAGCAAATTGTGTCAAGAATAAGGATGATAATTAGGCAAAGCTGCCGATCGATCCGGGCTGTAGGGTACCGAACCACTCCTGAGCGCCCCCTGAGCGTGCTGAAGAACAGTCGGCAAATGGCTGCCTCTGTTGCTCCAAACAGCATGAGCCCTCCTTGGTAACTTCTCAAATGTACGTGGGAATTTCCTGTCCCGTCATATGTCTGACCGGTTGGTGGTTTGGCATCCGTCTGGATCTCAGCATTCATTATTTCTCGGGTGAAGGGGGAGTGATCCCGGCCCGCACGGGGGTAGGTTGTAGGGGTGCCCTGTTCATCTGATCTCTCATTTCATTCATCTGCCTCCTCATTTCGGCCATTTCTTCCTCCTGGGCCGTTAGGGGTGGTGGTGGTGGAGTTCTTAGATCAACAAACTCCCGATTCCCTTCCGATGGGGGTGTTCTCTGATTCCGATGTCTCCGTATGAATCTAGTGCCATCACGTTCTTCATACTGGAAACGATGGCCAACTGTCGTAGTTCCTCTGGCTCGGGACCCGGTCGGGGTGCGGTCACTGGGAGTGTGCTGCCTGTCCCTAGCCGTGTACGTGAGTCCTTCGGTGATCTCTCCGATGGGCTAGTGAATGGGCCGAAGCCCTGGTTGTTTCGGTATCGGTGGTCTCCTCATCAAATGGTTGCATCCGTCGGAGTGGGGACATGGTTGTGTACCCGGTTTCCCCTGTGTAGTTGGATTGCCCCCCGTCTTGTTCATCTGCCATCTGCTGCATTACTTGGGCTAGATCTCGCATTACTGGGGGTTCTTCCTCAGTGCTTCGGGGATGAAGAAGTCCCCATCAAAATGTTGGTAAGATCCCCGGCTGGATTGCCCTTGGGGGGTCCAGCTCCCCGGAGTTCTGCTCCCTCCGCGTCGCTCCGAACCTTCATTGGTATGATGAGAGGTGATTCTGACCATCTTGATAATAGGTTGATGTTTGGGTAAACGGTTGGTTTGAAAACTTTTTGTTCAAGTTTCCCACAAACGGCGCCAATGTTGAGGTTAAGTCCCGTAGATCCGAAAGCCCAACAGACGCTTTGGATATTAAGGATATGGAAAATAGGTCGAGGGTAAATGAAAATATAAAAGCTGAATAATCTTGTGCTCAAAAGCCCACTTGTATTAAATAATTCGCTGATTACACAGGAAACTTCCCGAACGACACGACGGAACAGTGATTAGTATAAGAACAGGAGTGAGAAAGCTATTCTAGGTTATGAGTATCAAAATGCTAACCCGTTACAATGTAATTAATACCCCTAATTATACTAAAAAGGGGGTAGGTGGGGGGGGATATGGGGTGTTCCATGCTGATTGGTTGCTAATCCAGCTGCTTGAACGCCCATGCTTCCACTTGTTGACGCCATACTCTAGCATTTAATGCACCTCACCACTTGCAGGCTGCCCGTTCGAGCAGCGGAATGGTGGTCCTCACCGATGTCACATCAATCTGCCTCAAGTGTATCATGTGAGCCGTTCCTCGTTCGAGACTCGAGTGAACTCTTGTGGACCCTCGTTTCCCATTCGATTTAAATCTCTTCGTGGGCCTGTTCTCCCTAGTGGCCTTTTGGGTCGGGTATTGGGCCTTCGACCCAATATCCCAACAAGTATAAATAAAAAATAGATAAAATTTTAAAAACATTAAAGTAAAAAAAATAAAAAAATTATAAAATAGAAAAAGTAATGTGAAAATAAAAAAAGAAAAAAGAAAAACTTTAAAAAGCTTTTAAATAGCTGTCGAGTATACAAATATTTTTAAAATTAAAAAATATTGACTTTGATATTCTGAAAATTTTCATAATTTTTGTGTGTGTGTGTGTATATGTATATATATATATATATATATATATATATATATATATATATATATATGTATGTATGTATGTATGTATGTATATTACTCCGGGGGGGGGGGGGGGGGGTCTGGGGGGGAGGGCCTGGGGGGCATGGAGTAATCAGGGCTGAAACTCACTCCATTGAGTTTCAAACCCTTGAGTTTCACAATTTTTGTATATATTTCTTCAAATTTTAACAAAATTTTATAGAACTTTTAAGTATTAAAAACCTGCTATTACACTCAAAAGCTGATTAATTGATCAAATTGATCCATTTTGTAAAGTAGACATACTTATATGATAGTTTTTTGGGAAAAGGTGCAATTAAGCTTTCGAACTAACCGAAAAAGTGCAAATCACCCATTTTATATGAGACTATCTCCGGCCGTCGCCATTTGTGCGGTTTCAGGTGGAATTTTTTGATGAATTTTATTTAGCATCTTCTTTATTAGGTCTAGTTTACCCATACCAAATTTCAGCTAAAAATGCAACCGAGAAGGCAGTCAAATGATTTTTTGAAATATACTGCGCTGTTATCTTCAAACATTTATTTGACTGCCTTCCCGATTGTATTTTTAGCTGAAATTTGGTATCTGTAAACTAGACTTAATGAAGATGCTCAAAAAAATTCATAAAAAAAAATTCCACACAAAACTGCCCTAAATGGCGATGACCGGATATAGCTTTCTATAAAAGGGGTGATTTGCACTTTTTCGATTAGTTCGAAAGATTATTTTCCCGTTTTACCTAATTTTTTATAGTACAAAGGCTTAAGCGACGATTGGGAAATAATAGAAACGTCTATTTAAACCTTTTTCCAAATGAAAATAAATGGAATATGTGTGATTATTGTAAGAAGATCAAACATTTCCATATCCCCAATCCCTGGATATTTAAAAGATTTGTGCATCAAACATCATGTATGCATGTATCCAAAAAAACCCTTAATTTCCACTCCTAAAATACCAAAGATTATTTTGGTATCTGTAATACTGTGTTTTGTGGGAGTTTAATTCCACATTAAGATACTAGCAGGTAGCAATGGATTCTGCGACATCCGCGTCGAGGAAGAAGGACGTGAAAACCACAGTTTCCTTGTATTCTGACTATATCTGGAACCGGGTGCGTAGCTTCTTTCCTGCTACGTCATCCGGTTTCCACTCGAGCCTGCTCGCTGGTTTTTCGAATTTATACGGCGGAACCGCCGTTCACGTCAGCAAGTGCCGCCGCAGGAAGACATGTCTCCCACTTCCTCTGCCTAATTCTGCCACAATACGCCTTTCCTCCACGTAAACTTTTAATCTCTTGTAAACTGTTTGTCTCTTGTCATATGTCAAATCTCTATGTCATTAAATTACTCCTATTTTTGAATTTCGTTCTTACTAATATTTCTGGAAATTTCCCTTTCATTTGGGGTTGTTCTAAAAACAGGTACGGAGTATCATAATGTGATAACTTATTTTGAACCTCCCCTACTATTCTTTTGGGCCACCAAGTTTTGATTAAAATTTAATTTTTAATAGTTCTCATACATCAACGAATAATTTACTTAAACAACTTGCAAAAATTATTAATCTAAATACATATTAAAATTAGTTTTTACTCTATGTTATTAAGATTTAATTAATAGGATGAATACGGTACGTTAAGTTGGATGTAATCGTAGGTCATGCAAGTAATATAATCTTTAAAATCTAGATAAATTGAAATAGCATATGAAAAATACTAATAACAACCATAACACTAACCACAATATCTATAATCTATAATAATAATAGTATAATAATGATATCATGTCTTTAAACCATAAAACTAAGAGACTTATCTGATCTAACTCACCCCACAACCCACTCATCTATGTGTTTAATTTTGTACCATCTCATATTATTCAAGGGGACGATCTCAGTGATTTAAAATTTTCATAATCAACCGGGCAAGAAAGATGAAGTTTCAACATATTAGGTATTAATTAAATTATTTTATTAAAATTACAGAAATAAAAAGAACTGACCAGAAAGCACCGGAGAATTCTGAATGCAATTAAGAAGTTATAAAAGATGCTTACATACATACAAAGTTTATATGAATATAATGCCACCCTTATTTGTTTGACATGTAACTTTTACACATATTATGACATTTAGACATTCTGCACTCTAAAAAGGAAACATTTAAAAAAATACTCTTTATATTGAAATATTCAATTACTCTTATTGTTTCTTTATATTCATAAATATTCTATTTATCTTTTTTATTCTACAATTTTTATGTATATTCATTTCTTTTTTAATATCTTTTTTTATCATAACTTATCTTTTTATATTTCCATCATTTGCAATGGAGCCAAAGATTCATTATTTTTTGGCTTGAGATTATGATGGAATAAAGCAAAATGGCTCACTAAACTGTCTGTGCTTTTTTGTTATGGAGAAGCAGTCAGTCCATGCAATTTTGGACGCGATTTCACTATGGGTCATCCGAAAACAGTCTCTCTGTGCTTTAGTACATGTGTAAGACTGCGTACATCCGACCCCCCTTACCCCACCGTAGGTGGAAGCCTTTGCGGCACTGGGGTAAATGAAAATGAAAATGGATATCTTTTTATGTTTCTTATCTTTCTTTTCTTTTCTTTTTGGGTTGCGACATCATCTATAGATTCATGTTAACCGACCTCAAAATCTTTCTTTTCCTTTGGGTTGTTGTTGTACTTTTATTTTTTTACTTTTTATACTTTTCACCTTTCCTCCAACTTTTTCTACACGATTCATTACATCTACTATTTCCTCTTTAAATATTGTGCCAAAACCTCATAATGTAGTAATGTAACAAAAATATTATTGTAATACTACTATACAATATTATTATAATACTACGTTCATGTTGATCACTTGATACGTAAATATAAATGCTTGAGTTACAAATTCTACATGGTATCAGAGCTTAGCTCTAATATCCGCTGCAAACAACAATCAAAATCATCTCTTCTCAATCATGCCTCAAACCGATTCACAATCCACAGCCAAACGGCCAGCTGTTGAAGATGTTTCCAGTCCGTACTACGTATGTTCCGGAGATAATCCCAACACTACTCTTGTTAATCCTCAACTCAATGGGAATGATAGAGAGCGGGAAGAGCATGGGGTGGGACCGGGCTTGGGCCCACTTCCGTGGGTCGGGTTAGGACTGTCATTAGAGTTTATTTATTATTATTAAGTTAATGTTATGTTTTACTTTGGGCCTATTATTAGTAGAGTACTTAGTAGAGTTATTATGGGCTTAATTATGATTTTTAATTAATTTGGGCTTGATTGGGGTTTCTCTTAGAAGACTATTTATATCCCTTGCTAGGGTTCATTCTATTTTATCTTGGAATAAAATTGGTTTTAACCTTTTGGCTCTGGGCAACGGTATTTTTATCGTTGATTATCTGAGCAATAGTGTACCCCGTTGATTTTATTTTTCTGTTACACAACAATTGGTCCGACCTGACGGATCTCGTCCCGCCAGGATGATGAGATCTCAGATCGACCGCTGGACAGAGATGGTCGCCAAGCAAACTCGGATGAATCAAACCCTAGAGGAGCACAACATGCATCTGGCAGAGATTGTAATCTCGCATCCCTGGCAACGCTTACCAAGGCGCTAATTCCTCCGGTCATGACGGAATGGACGCGGTTGGCAGCCCCACCGTATCTGCGCACAGCAGCGACAAACAGCCGTGCAGTGTCATTTTCTTCCTTGGCTACATTTACAGAGGCTCTCGCGCCGCCAGCGGTGGAGGAGCATTCAACGACGGTGGCTTCACTTGACGCGGCAGCAGCATCCATATTTGGAATTGGATTGTGCAGCACCTTTCTCACGATGTTGCCCTCGTTTAACGGAGAAGAACTGTTCAGTTGGGTTGATAGGGCTGAGCAACAGTTCGAATTGAACTGTACTCCGCCGGGAAAGAAGGTGGCAGCCGTTGTAGTTGCGATGGAAGGGCCAGCCTTATATTGGTTGACCTGGTTACGGGCACGAAAGCCGGTCATGTCATGGGATGAGCTTACACAGGCATTAGTGGCTCGTTTTGCCTCACGGTTTAAGGGCAATTGCTTTAAACGGCTGCCCGGAGGTAAGCAGACAGGGACTCGGGAGGAGTACATCTCAATTTTTCCTAAAGATACTGGGCAGCCCCCGGGGACAAATGTGATCCGGTTTCCGGATTTCAACCTTGAGGACAAGGTTATTTTGAAAAAGGATGGATTGATAGAGAGCGGGAAGAGCATGGGGCGGGATCGGGCTTGGGCTTGGGCCCACTTCCGTGGGCCGGGTTAGGGCTGTCATTAGAGTTTGTTTATTATTATTAAGTTAATGTTATGTTTTACTTTGGGCGTATTATTAGCAGAGTACTTAGTAGAGTTATTATGAGCTTAATTAGGATTTAATTAATTTGGGCTTAATTAGGGTTTTTCTTAGAAGACTATTTATACCCCTTGACAGGGTTCATTCTATCTTATCTTGGAGTAAAATTTGTTTTAGCCTTTTGACTCTGGACAACGGTATTTTTATCGTTGATTATCTCGCAACGGTTTACCCCGTTGATTTTATTTTTCTGTTACACAATAGGGAATAACTATAACTATCATTCATGGAGCAAATCGATGAAGATCACACTTGGAGCAAAGAACAAAATGAAAATAATGAATGGAACGATATCAAAACCAGATGTTGACGATGAAGATTATGAAGCGTGGGAGAGATGTGACCTTATGGTGCAGTCATGGATCCTCAATTCCTGCACAAAAGAGGTGGCATCGTGTATTTTGTGCGATGAAAGTGCTGCGTTGATGTGATCTACTGATTCTACTCTAAATGAGCGATTCTCTCAAGGCAATCTTCCAAGGATTTTTGACCTACAAAAACAGATCTATGCAACTATTCAAGGTAACCTTAGTGTTACAGATGACTATAATAAACTAGATTCATTATGGAAGGAATTGAATCAATATAATCCTGTTGTTGCATGCATATGTGGAGTAGTTAAAGGATGCAAGTTTGATTTCTTGAAAACTATGTTAGAAAGGGAAGAGAGAAACATGTCAATTAAGTTTTTGATGAGTTTAAATGATACCTTTGCTGGAGTTAGAGGGCAGATTCTTGTGATAAAGCCATTTCCTAGTTTAAATAAGGTTTTCAGCTATGTTTTACAATATGAAATGTAGAGAAGTATGGGGAATGGTTTGCATATGGAATCAATGGCTATGATGAGTAAGGGAAGTATGAGTGAACAACCTACTTTTAATCCTGCAGCAAATCACAGTATGTACACTAAAGGGTTCAAGCCTCACAATTTTAAAAGAGAAAGTAAAGTTGTTTGTACACACTGTGGTTACACTAATTATACTGATTATAAGTGTTACAAGTTGCATGGATATCCTATTGGATACAAACCAAAAGGGAAGCAATACAGAGCAATGTTACAAGTGGCTCTCATAGTAAGACATGACAGATGCCTATAATGCTCAGGTAGAAAGTGTTCCACAGGTAATTGATAGTAAGACAGGTTGTGTTGTGACTCAGGATCAGTACCATCACCTGCTCAGCTTAATCCAAATCTGGCCAGCTCTCAAAACACTCCTCTCACCCCTTTAAGCTCTTATCAAACATTGAGGACAGGTAGTCCTTTCAGCCTTTGAGCTTTTACCTACCTGTTCTTCTTGGATTCTTGACACAGGTGCTACTGATCACATGGTCAGTAACATATCACTTTTCGTTCTTCAAATCCCGTTTCAAATCTTTTTGTACACTTACCAGATGGATGCAACGCCTCAGTCACACACATTGGGACTATTCAACTTTTTCCTAATGTCATTTTGACTAAAGTATTATATGTTCCCAACTTCAGTGCCAACCTTCTTTATTTCAGTAAGTTGTTGTCTGAAACATCCTTGAATCTCATTTTCTCTGCAAATGAATGTGTCTTACAGGACCGAAGTTTGTAAGTGAAGATTGGCACCCCTGAGTTGATCAGGGGACTGTACATACTGAGTCCTCAAAAGGAAACCTCCATAGCTAATGTTTCACATTCTTCTCGTAATGTTTCTTCTTGTATTTGGCACCAAAGACTTGGTCATGCATCTAATTCCAAACTTCAAAATTTAAAAGATGTACTGCATTTTTCTTCTCTTGAAAATAAAAGTTGTAATATCTGCCCTATGGCAAAGCAACATAGATTGTCATTTCCCAAAAGTTCAATGAAGTCTTTAAAGGTCTTTGATCTCATTCATTGTGATGTTTGGGGTCCTTTTTCTATTCCTACATATGATAGTTTTCAATATTTCCTTACCATTGTAGTTGATTTTTCAAGGGTTGTTTGGTGTTGCTTAATGAAACACAAATCTGAAATCAAACATCATCTCATGTCCTTTCATAAACTTGTTCAAACTCAGTATTCCATTCATATTAAAACAGTAAGAACGGATAATGGAACTGAATTCCACCTTCCAAAATTCTACTCTAGTGAGGGAATTATTCATCAAACTACATGTCCATACACTCCTCAATAGAATGGAATCACTGAAAGAAAACACCAAACACTTCTAAACATTGCTAGAGCACTAAGGTTTCAAGCTAATCTCAGCCTACCCTTCTGGGGTGATTGCATCCTCACAGCTGTCCATATTGTCAACAGGTTACCCCCATTAATTTTGAACAACAAATCACCAGTTGAAGTTTTTCATAACCAAACTCCAGATCATTCTGCCCTTAGATCCTTTGGATGTCTTTGTTTTGTTTCCAATCTCATTGGTTACAAAACTAAGTTTCAACCAAGATCTAGAAGATGTATTTTCATTGGTTATCCTTCTCACACCAAAGGATACAAACTGTATGACCTAGATACTTGTCAAACCTTTGTATCTAGAGATGTCATCTTTCATGAGTCCATATTTCCTTTTAAGGATTCTTATTACATCAATAGTGATACTGTTTTTCCTATTCCTGTTCAAGATCCTTCTATTTCTGAACATAACCACACCTCTGAACAGCCTCCCATCATAGAAACATCTTCTTCTACTACTGATCATCCTTCTGTCAGTGGTTCTCAACCTAATGATCATAATCAGCTCAATCCATCAAGGCCTGTAAGATCCAGAAAGCTTCCTAATCACCTTAGGGATTATGTATGTGCAGTCACTCAAACTCAATCTCCGGTTGCCACTTCTTCATCTCTCAACATCAAAACAGGTTAGACAGTTCACCGCATACATAAATACATTACTCTAAATAACTTTTCTCACTCACTTCAAGCCTTTCTGTTGCTATATCTGAACCCACATTTTATGCCCAAGCTTCCATTGATTCACACTAGAGAAAAGCTATGCAGGATGAAATTACTGCCCTTGAGTCTAATGGAACTTGGCATATTACTGATTTTCCTCCAGGAAAAACTCCTATCAAGGGCAAATGGGTGTATAAAGTGAAATATCATGCTGATGGCAGCATAGAAAGGTACAAGGCTATACTTGTTGCTAAAGAATACACTCAAATTGAAGGATTATACTTTCTTGATACTTTTTCTCCTATGGCCAAGAGCCAAGGGCCAAGTTCACCACAATACGGGTTTCTTCTTGCCATGGTTGCTTCAAATGGATGGTTTTTAGAACAATTGGATGTTCACAATGCCTTTCTCCATGGGGATCTACATGAGGAAGTGTATATGAACTTTCCCCTAGGATTTGAACAAAAGGAGAAGAATAAAGTGTGCCGTTTACTTAAGAGTTTGTATGGCCTTAAATAAGCTAGCAGGGGAATGGTTTTCTAAACTCTCTGCTGCATTGAAAGGTTATGGCTTTGTTCAATCCCATGTAGATTATTCTCTGTTTGATCATCCTAGTATATGTTGATGATATTCTGGTTACTTCATCAGATATGCTTCAAATTACTCATCTGAAACAATTTTTGAATGATCATTTTAAAATAAAAGATTTGGGTCTTGTTAAATTCTTCTTAGGATTAGAAGTAGCACGCTATTATAAACATCTCTACCTGTGCCAACGCAAGTACACCATGAACCTTTACAGCAGTATGGATACCAAGACCGTAAGCCTGTATTTTTTTCCATGGATACTAAACTTCATCTAAGCAGCCTTGATGATCATTATCTCAGTGATCCTTCCATTTACAGATCCTTGGTTGGAAAATTACTTTACTTAACAATCACAAGGCCTGACATCAGTTTTGTTGTTAATTCATTGGCACAGTTTATGCAAAAGGCCAAAAGCCCGATCAATCTCACTTGTCTGCTGCTCATAGAATCCTAAGATACTTAAAAGGTTCTATAGGACAAGGTCTTCTATATTCACCTACTTCTGATCTACAACTCAAAGGATTCTCAGATGCTGACTGGGCAGGCTGTGTTGACACTAGAAGATCAGCCACAGGTTACTGCATGTTTCTAGGCAGCTCACTTATTTCTTGGAAATCCAAGAAACAACAAACTGTTTCAAGAAGCTCAGCTGAAGTTGAATATAGAGCCTTGGCTGCGTCAGCTGCTGAAATTCTTGGTTTATTACAACTTTTTAAGGACTTCAAGCTTCCTGTGTCCAATGCTACTATATATTGTGATAGCTAGTCTGCTCTAGCATTGGCAGCCAATCCAATTCATCATGAACACACAAAGCACGTGGAAATTGATTGTCACTTCATAAGAGAGTGGATACAATCTGGGATTATACACACTCTTTAAGTCTTTTTGTCCCAAGTCGTTATCAATTGGCAGATATACTTACCAAACCTTTGGGCAGAGATTCAGTCTATTTTCTACTTTCCAAGATGAGTGTACAAAATTTGTACTCTCCTCTGGGGGGGGGGGGGGTATTGGAGTTCAAAGAGAACAATGAGCAAAGATGATACATGCAAGCGTCAACATGCATGCAACACATGGAAACAAGGAGAACTAGCTAGAAGGATAGCGTTCAGCTATACAATCTATTGGATATGGAGGACTAGGAATGCGATTCGTTTTGATGGAGCATCGCTAAAGTTGGATGATACTATTGCACATATCAAGTATATGGTGTACAAAGTGCTTTTCTCGCTATATCCGTATCATATGATACCGTTTTGAATTATAAACTAGCCTATTTTTGTCATGAGTTGATGGCTATTATTTTGCTAGATGATGGTAGTTAGAAGATAAGCTCTACAGCTTTTGAAGTTATAGGGTATCCATGCTTGGATATGCCTTAAATTTTGCTCATATGATGTACATAAACTTGGTTACTATCTATATATTTACATTTTCCCAAAAAAAAAGGAGAACTAGCTAGAAACTTCTAATTAGTTAGTTTGTTAGAAGTTAGTTACGTTACAACTATTATATAAACTCTTTCTTGTTCTCTTTCTCTGTAAGAACTCTGTATCTCATTTCATATTACAATGAATAAACTTTCTTCCCTTCCTTTCTCGTTCATGTTGATCACTTGATACGTAAATATGAATGCTTGAGTTACAAATTCTACAACACATGCTCTAAACAACACTATTATAGAACTATAGAACAAAAGATTAATCCTCTCTCTTGAATGCTAGAGGTATTCATACAAGCAAGGTGGTAGTCGGGCTTCGATTCAACCTTTCTCTTACAAAATCTCCCACCATTGAAAATGTCTTTCCTCCATTTTCAAATTTCTCACAGAAACAGAGTGTAATCAAGATGTTGAATCCCCTGCTGAGTGGCTAAGGGCTGGTGCTGCTGTCTGGCCACCCGCCCGAGCTCCCACTCAGCATTCATTGGGTTGACGCAGATACGGAAGGTTGCCATGTCCTCGTGTCGGATGTCCTTGATGTGTGGCCAGGCGCCGACCACTCGGGCAGCTGGCCCCATGCTAGTTCATTCGCCCAGGTGATATACCAAACAATCCGTGATGTCCCAAGCGGGTGTGACAGCGTTGGGCTCTCCTTTGGTCTCAACTGGTTGGGAACCCTGATTGGGCCTTTGGCCCAATACATGGTCTGGATGGTATAGGCCTTTGGTGGATTTGGGTCGGTCATTTGGAGTGCCAAATTCAATATTCCAACACACGTCTCTCACTTCTAATGTTCTGAAGTGTGCCTAGTGGATGTCGCAAAGTATTCATTTCTGTTCACCCTTGGGTTGACCTTCATAGCTCGGGTTCAGGGACCACCACCGCGCGCCTTGTTTGTCTCCTGGTTCGAAGCAGCACGACACATGCATTCCTTTCGGCGGCGGCTCGTAGCTCTTGGCATGAAGATTCTTGATGTTTTCGTATTTTGAGGCACGTAATGATGGCATGATGTTTTGTCTCTGCCTGACAGCTGTCCTGGGGCGTTTTCTAGACACTTATGCATCCTTGATTGGTTGGGGAGAGGTGGAATGCCTATAAATACCTCCCTCTCACCATTGCATCCCCCTTCTGCTATCCTGAACTCCTTCCAGAGCTTTCGATTTCACTATTCTGGCAGGCATTCTCTCTACATCGTTTTCACTATTCCAGCAGGCATTCTGTCACTTCCGCACTTCCACAAAGGCAGCTTCATGGGTAATAGTAGAGGAATGAGTTTTTTCGTTCACAGTAAAAAAGTAGGAGGGTTTTTCGGTGCATGGGGTTCAGTTTTGCTTGATGGGGTGCTTTGTAGAAGCAAATAGTGTACATAAAAGAACATCTCAGAAAAAGTATATTACTTCAAATGTGCAGGGATGCATCTGAATCGTCCAGAATTATTGTTGTTTTGGAGGATATTGTAGAACACATTTTCTTAAATTTGCACTACATCCAGAAGAACCTAGAGTTTTGGCAATCTAAAGCCGAGGTTAGTGAATATCATTTTATCTTTACATATACGTCCATGAAGTTTTTTGATCAATGAAGTTTCCCCCCTATCTGATCGTAGGAATCAAATGCTCGACAAGCATACTTCATGATATGTGAGAGAGGCCCGCGTGCATTTTTTAATGGAACAATTCAACTGATACGTGATTGTGTTGGTGATGGTTCTGGGAAACAGCACACATATAATTTGGCATCCTCTTATATATCAGAGAGATTAACCGTGTTGACCAGTTTAAGATGCTTTTTGGCTACATTTTTGGCTCAGGTTCTTTTATCCTACGTAGATTTTACTTGACTTATGCATGTATCAGCGCTTTTCTCTTGGTTAATTGAATTTATGCATTTGAGTTAATACTCTATCTTAGCTTTATTTAAAGTAGTTCTATTGACTTGGGTAGTTGGGTGTTTGTCTGAAAATGAGCTTATGATTGTGAAGCTCCAATCAATGATACGCCATTCTAAGTTCAGTTTCTATTAATCATGCAGCCTAAGTTCAGTTTCTTATCCTCCATTGATGGGTTTCCATATACTCCCTCAGTCCCAAATTGTAAGATACATTTACTATTCACTTGGTCAACATAAATCACTCTTAATCTTTTACTTTATATATCAAAAGTTTATGCATTTTGAATTTTTTTGCAGGTTTTGTAGCAATTTTAATGTAGTTTCTGAATATGTAAATTTATTTTCTAAAACTAATTTGAGTGTTGTCAGGGATCAATTTGCTTTATCGTTGGTCAAACATCGTAAACCGTAAAGTATCTTACAAATTGGGACGCAGGGAGTACTACCTAATTTTCTATTGAAGACTCTGAACATATTAGATGGGTTTTCTATTTGACATTATTATGCTACACCTCTCCATCAGCCAACTAATTTGTGGTTAGTTGACATTGTTATCCATCATGCAGTCTAAGTTCAGTTTCTCATCCTCCATTGGTTGGTTTGCTGTTTGACATAGTATTGTTATGAGTCTCCAATTCTCCATATACTACCTAATTTTCTAATGAAGAGAGTTTACTTATTAGATGGGTTTTCCATTTGACATTATTATGCTATGCCTCTCCATCAGCCAACTAATTTGCTAATTAAGATTTTCACATTAGATGTGCTTTCCATTTGACATTATGCTATGCCTCTCCATCAGCTAACTAATTTACTAATTAATAAATTTTACTTCTTGTTTTGAGAGAATTTAGCTAATGACTTTCTTAACAATGCTTTGCACTGTGATGTTCGTATACATTTATTTACTAAAGTCAAATATCTCTGTACCGGAGCAATTTCATGGCTTCACCGATCTGTACTAGTGAATCATTTGGTGTTCCAATTACATGCTACTGCCTACCTTAGAAACTCTTCTACTTTAATACAAAGCATAATATATGGTTCAAATTTTCAAAGCCTCCTTCTCTAAGATTAATATTTCTTAGCTTGTAAGAGAGATATCAGTGGCTACAAAGCATATTGTTTATAAAAAAAGCATATTGTTTATTGTCATAAGTGTGTATTTTTACTCTCTATGTAGGACGGTAGTAGTGCTAGTTTCCCTGTATATAGTCATCTGTATGATAGGACTCTGAGCAGATTAGGACTGATAATAATAATGAGAATAATAATAATATTAGAAGAGTAGTATAAATAGAGGATGAGGGTAGAATAGGAGGGTTGGAATTGTTATTTGGGCTTGGGACTGCCTTTGTATTTCTCTCTCTATTTTCTGTTATACGAACTACCTCCATTGTTACATATCTTGATTTCTTCCATTGTTAGCTCTCTCAAATTACTGTAAACTTGTAAACTGGCCTATAACCTAACATTGGTATCAGAGCAACACTTTTGGTTACCTGTTCGTGGTTACCACCAGAGGAACTGTGGAACCGACGCTGAAAAGTTTAAACGCGCGTGGGAGAAGAATCGCATAGAGGAGATGCATGATAAAGCTACGATGCGTGAAGCGATGCGTGAAGAAGCCAAGCGCACTCACGATGAGTTACGCGAGCTAATCTTGAACAGGAAAGATAGTCAGTCACGCGGGAAGATCTGATCAGGATGCTTCGCGCGGAAAATTGAAGAAGCACTCAAACAGGGAGAATCGCTCGAACATGGGAAAGTGCGTTAACCTGGAGAAGTGAGTGAACAAGGAGAAGAGCGCGGAGAGCAAGGAAAAGGTTGAGCGCGGAAAAGTGGTGTAGTTAGCGGAAAAGGTTGAGCGCGGAAAAGTGGAGAAACTCGCGGAATAGGTAGAAAGTGTCTGGGAGAAAGAGCGAAGGATATGGTTGGACCAGTTAGGATGTTTTTACGTGGACTGTAATTTGCTGGTCTGGTCTGTTTTAGTCTGGTCTGTTTTGGTCTGGTCTGTTTTGGTCTGGTTTGGTCTGAAATTTTATTTTATATATTTTTTGCATAAATATTTTATTTTTTAGATTTATCATAATCCATAAATAATTATATTTTATTCATTTATAATTAAAAATAATAATATTCCTTCCAAATTATCGAAAATTGTTATCGTTTTAATTGGATTTATTTCAATCCCAGACCGAAGCAGATCATACAAATACAGAACAATAATAAAATAGTACAAGTATTAATAATAATAACAAGAATAACAATACTACTACTAATAATAGTAGTAGTAGTAGTAGTAGTAATAGTAATAATAGTAATAGTAGTAATAGTACTACTACTACTAATAATAATAATAACAATAATAACAACAACAATAATAATAATAATAATAATATCAAAATATGGTCTGGTTTGGTCTGGTCTGGTTTAGTCTGGCCTGGTCTGGGACGAATTACAGTCCAAGTAAAAACAACCTTACGCACCGATCTGCGTAAACAACGTCGCAGGCGAGGTCGATCGAGGACAGTTCATCTATGTCAGAATTCTGCAAGCAAGGAGATAACAGTTGCTACCAGCTCGCCGTGGTTAAATGAGCATATCCAATGGTCATCACCGGTCAATTCCCACCCTGCGAAAGACCTGTTTATTGATTCGCAGATGTCATCTCAAATTTTGTCCAAGGTTTCCGAGTCGGCTCAAGTTTTTACGCTGGGAATTCCACCAACTATAAAGAATACTGAGTTGAAGATGGCCGAATCTGTAATGAAGAAACCGAATCTGGAAGAAGAACTCGAGGAGCAAACTACAGTTATTGATGGACCTGAAGCGGGCACAATTGCTTGTTTTCTGAAGTACGAGCCCGTCAAGTCAAACTCGGGAACCAATATTTTCAAGATTCTTCAGGTATGTGATACTGCGGCTTGTGTGGCAAAGTCCACAATGACTTCTAGTTTCGTACAAGAGATGAACTGGCCTAATGTTTTAAAATCTGAAATTGTGAACTTTCATTCATTAAACATTACTTTGGAAGGACTGAAGTCATTTAACAAGTTTGATAGTTTTAGATGTGAGGGTGTTACTTCTATGATGGATAATAAAAAAGGGTTAGAAGGAGGATTTAGTGGGAATATTGCAAAAATGAGGGATATGTTACTGGTGTTGAAGTTGAAATGTATCGGATGTTTGTTAAGGGGTGTGTTGATATTGTTGAAAGTCAGGACCATCTTTTGATTCTTGGGGTTGAAGGGTGCAAATGGGTACTTTCTGCAAATTGGGACTTCATTGATTCCGGATTAAGATGGGATGATAAATTTGATCTTGGATATCTGATGTGTAGAATCAATGTGGACTTGGACCCTGCTATTCAGACTGCTGTTAATGGACTAGAAGCTGAAGCAAATTTCCAACCTTACAAAATGGTCTTAGGTTCCAATAATCCAGAAGTGAATTGTTCCAGTAGTGTTCTTTTACTGGAAACTAGGCTAGCTGAAGATGTTGGAAAGATAGAAGTGGAACTATACTTGCCGGGAAATATAGTTATGACTTCTTATTCCTCACTTGGGCTAATAATGTTGGATGCCTACCAAGTCAGGGAAGCAAAGAGGTTTCGGGAATCCTTCTCCAATTGGCTGTTTGGAAAACTGTTTACATGTGCATCAGGAATTCGTTCCTCTGTTTCGGTGGTGGAAGATCTCAAGAAAAATACTTGGCTTAAGGCTGAATTGTTGAAAGCTAACAAGAGGAATGGGTTTCTCCTTGGAAAATATTTGGAGGTAGTTAGATACTTATGCTATAGGCATTGATGATATAGAGCAGATTCACATCACTCACATTTCAGTTTGTAGAAATAACGTGAATGGCATGGAGAGCGTTAGTACTAGTACAGCAATAACAGCTCTACACTTTGCCACTAATTCTTTGAGTGTTGTTGTTGGTAAAGACACTTGCCAATTTTACTATCACAGGCTTAGCTCTGGCCCTGAGAAAACTACATTTCACTTGATCAATGAACCCAACACCGAAGTTTCCTTTTTCCCAAGTGGTGAAGGGTATCAATGCGCAGTTATCTCTTCGCTTGTCAATTCTCCAGTATGCATCCGGCAGTACATGGCATCAGGATCTAAATTGGTTGTGGTGTTTGTAAGCTGCCAGGCATCTTTGGGTATTCATCAAAATACTGAGAAATGGGAAGGTAAAACCTCATGTGAAAATAGGGAAGAACTTGCTTTGTGCTTGGTAGAACTATGCCAGCCAGTACATCCAGAGAAGGAAATTGAAGAGAAAGATCAAACAGCACAATCTGGTCATAAGGAACAAAACAATTACAAAGATTCCAACAATCAGTGTGTTCTCCAGGCAATGAAGTTCATGGTCCCACAATCAGTTAGGTACTGGGAAGGGAGATGCGCCAGGATGAAGATAAAGTTGAAGGTCAAGACGGTTTCCTATCACCCACCTTGAGGACAAGGTGGTTGTTCAAGGAGGGAGATATGATAGGACTCTGGGCAGATTAGGACTGATAATAATGAGAATAATAATAATAATAATAATAATAATAATAATAATATTAGAAGATTAGTATAAATAGAGGATGAGGGTAGAATAGAAGGAGGGTTGGAATTGTTATTTGGAACTGGGACTGCCTTTGTATTTCTCTCTATTTTCTGTTATACGAACTACCCCCATTGTTACGTATCTTGATTTCTTCCATTGTTAGCTCTCTCAAATTACTGTAAACTGGCCTATAACCTAACACTGTACCCCAAGAAGTAAAAAAGGGAAAACAGACATCTGGGGACCATCTTGCAATTCGCGTGAATGCTTGATTATTACAGCTTGTTTTCCAGTTAGCATATGCACCACTAACTCTCTTTTAATACATAGATATACATGGAGGTCGACATAGCTGGACATGATTTAATCAATGACCCTGAGAAGTCGATGTCATCATTATTGGTAAAGATCAATGATCTCTTTCTAGAGTTGGACACTTCTATTGGCAGTTTTCATGCAAAACATCAGGTGACCCCCCCCCCCCCCCCCCCTCGTATTAGTTGCTTTTTCTTGTCTATCTTTATTTGCTAATTATGTCTACTGCTTTTATTTTTATTTTGATGACTACTGCAGAATGACTATTCCTCAGAGGGAAGTTATTCATCGCCTTTAATGTTTGAGAAACTTCCAGAAGTAAATCAAGGTGGCTCTCGTTGGACAAGTTGTGAGATTCAAGATGCCATCAACTTTATTTACCAAAACTTGCAAAACTTGGAGTCGTACTTATCAAGAATAGTATGAGTTCTTGTCCAGGATCATTTTCGCTTATTTATACTATGTGTTTATTTCTATTTCCGCCCATGATTGTCTTTTGGAACCCATGTAATCATTGCCTCAGTTTCATCACACCATTAGCTGAGTTCTAAGATTGAAAGAGGTCTTGATTCATCGGTTCATACATCAGTGACGTGTATGAAAGTCGAGAGAGCTTTCCGCATTTTATATAAATAATAAAAAAACCGTGAGGCCATGACTAGGTGCATTCCTTTTTTCATCTTTACATATAGCGAATTCATTCTCATCTAAAATTACTGTATTTTTTGTGAAGGGATGGATAATTTTTGGGTTACTAACTTTCCCTGCAGAACACTAACCAATCTTTTTTATTTATGCAAAGGTTAAGTGGTGTGCTTAACCCAGTTGCTTTTTTCAAGATCAAATGGTTGTGATTTCTTGTGCTCCAAATTCTCCACAATTTCTCGATTATTCTCGTCTAATGTGCTGATAAGCTAGGATCAATCAGAGTAAGACATTATCCTGGAAAAGATGACCATCTAGAGATAACAACCTAGTTTATGCACAATATATGGTCCAGAGAACAAACATTATATCCATAGATTTGTTATACACCAAACACTGTTATCGGAAGCTTCGGGTAGAAAAAATGATTACTCTGAAAGAATCCTTGACAAGCCATTTTCTTTTAGTCATTTAGTCTATGGACCTATTCCTATGTCAGGACAAAAAAGCTTCTCACGGAATTTTTTGTACTTCTGTTATCACCCAGGTTGATATAGAAGGAGGTGTCTTTGTGGTTTCATATTTCATAACTCTCAATAAAGAGTCTCCGTTTTGTTTATGTTTGTTCCTCAATGCCACACTTTTATGTTTTCGTTTGTACTTCTTCATATGTTCGTGTTCCTTGATGGTATGTTGATATAACAATTTCAATTTTGTGATGAGACACGACTATAGAGTGTAGAAACTATCTCAAATCAGTGATGTCCTATTATGATGCATTCATTGAGAGATTTGATTATCCACAAACTGAGGAATTTGATTCCCTTAATTTTTTCATCGATTTAATTAGCTTCCTGTTTTGCCACAATTAGTAATCTGGTATTATTGTGTAATTATTATTTTAGTGGATATTCTAAGTTTCCTAATTACATTACATTACAATTAGAGTTTAGTGAAAACGTATTCTAGGAAGCTCTCTCTCTCTCTCTCTCTCTCTCTCTCTCTCTCTCTCTCTCTCTCTCTCCCCCGTTCTCTTCTCTGCAAAGTGCAAACACCTTCCACCGCCATCATAGGAAAGAACAAGGATTCCTTGGCTTCCTTAGCCTTCTAGTACAGGCACCTAGCGTGCAGTCAAACATGTTCATATCATATTAAACTCTCCATGAAATACATCCGATGTAAAAGTGTAAAACTTTACTACTCCCTCCATCCCAATTTGTAAGATACTTTATGTTTTACGATGTTTGACCGGCGATAAAGCAAATTGATCCCTGTGAACACTCAAATTAGTTTTAAAAAATAAAATTTACATACTCAGAAACTACATTAAAACAGCTACAAAACCTGCAAAAAATAATTCAAATACCATAAACTTTTGATATATAAAGTAAAAGATTAAGAGTGATTTATGTTGTCCAAGTGAATAGTAAATGTATCTTACAATTTGGGACTGAGGGAGTACTATGTTTTACCTTTGGAATTTAGAGTCGACTAAAATTTGACAATTCATTGGATGTATAAGTATAATCCCACCAGCCTCAAAATAGTTGGGATTACGTCGTGGTGATTGTGATGATGATTATACTCTTTTTTTCCTAGGTTATGAATCACAAGAGGCCAAGGAGAGCGACTCTTCATTGGATGCGCTATACCTGTGGGATAGTTGGCATCTCAATCTGTTCAATATGGCTTCTGCGGCATAGCCATTTGATGGGGAGTTCTGACATTGATAATTGGTTTTGTGAAGCAAAAGAGTCGACAATTAGTTTTTGGAATGGTCATGTAGAGCAACCGGTAAGCTGCATATCATGACGAATAATGCAAGAGTATCAGTGTTCACGGTGTTGATGAATTTTCACAGCTCTATGATTATACTTCAAAATTTGTTATGAATTTGTCTATTTCACTTTTCCTTTATTTGCTGTTTGTTTTCCATCCTATTTAGTGAAAATGGAACACAGTCCCTCTTTGGTGATGACTCGAACAGTTACATTGAAAGCAAGTTCATGTAGTATTGTGGTGTCATGTCTGTCCATATAACGTAAAAAAGAAATGCAACACAGCACCTTAAGTCTGATCGGTATTAGGGATGAAAGTAGAATTATGAAGACTTTACAGTGATTGGTACATTATAGGAGTCTTGGTGATGACTAGTTACGGGTAGTGCCAATTACACTGGTTATGGCTTATGCTGTATGACAGCAAATATCCTTAAACTGAATAGAGTAATATTAGTTTTTGGAATTACAATAGTTTTTCAGTACTAGTTGGGCAGTAAGAAACAAAGTTAAAAAAGGCGCTATTAAGCTTTGAGGCGAATCAGGCGAGGCATAAGCCTTAATGCATTTTGTGGCGCAAGCCTCAAACTATTTGCATACCTTCCTTTACAATTCAAAATCACCAACAATGTAAAACATATTATTGATCATGCATAAATTTAACTCTTTAGAGAAAGGTATTTAAGATTTGCTTACCTGATTAGAAATAAGAAAAAGTTGATAAAATAAGCAAAGTAGAAGAAAATTAAGAAATTGCTGAAGCCTGTAGCCTTGATATTTTGATATTCTGCATCAATTTGAATAAAAAGAAAAGGATAAACAACTTCCATTTCTTCTGGGTTTATATTTCAAATAAATAGAAAAAAATGCTGCAACTGTCTGAATTATTTGAACCTTACTGGAAAGAGGAAAAGAGAAGAATAGTGATAGTAGCTCAGTACCATTGCACCTTTGCAAGAACTGTTCTCACTTCGACATGAGTGCAGAGTAGTTGTAGCTCTGTACGTTATGTGAATGTGATAGGATTCAGGCAGATTAGTCTGAGAATAATAATAATAATAAGAGTAGTATACATAGAAGGTAAGGGGGGAATAAGATGTAGACTGGTATCATCTTGGGCTTGGGACTTTGGAGCATTACCTATCATTGGTATCAGAGCGTCATTTCTGTCTCCTGTCAATGATCGCTACTCAAGGAACAATGGAAAGTAAGCTGCAGAGTTTGCAGCGCAAATGTGAACTTACCCGCGAGGAGATGCGGAACGATAGCAACAAGGTGTGAAGTGATATCCCCAAGTTACACGAATTGATCTTGCAGCAGAACGCTCGATGTGAGCGAAGAAGATCAAGAACTTCAAGGCGAGCAGATTCTGTCCGTGCACCGGTTTTACTGCCGATTTCTCCGCAGGTTCCTTCATCAGTTTTCAGTTCGCATCAAAGTACTATGCGATTGATGGGAGAATTTCCCCATTCGCAGGCAACGTCGCTAAGTGCACATATGTTGTCTCAGTTGCAAGCAACTCCTTCTAATTTTTTGGCTTCTTCGCGAGCAGATACTGTTAGTTCGCAATTTTTTGAGTCTCATACTCGAGTTTCCTCACTGGGGACTTCATCGCAGACATAGAACATTGAGGATGCTTTCTTTTGGACCGTTTTCAATCCTGGATCAGACCAGATCAGACCAAACTTAAACAGACCAGACCAGACTTAAACAGTTATAAAATACACAAAAACTAGACATTTACCAGACCAGTTCAGACCGACCAGACCAGCAAATTTCATTCCAAAAGAAAACATCCTGAGTTGAAACCGGTTGCACCATTAAGGAATCAGACCATGAAGAGGATGGTAATGAACCTATGGGATTTTCGTGAGACAATATGGAAGGTTCCGAAGCGCACAAATCAGATATCCTTACCTATGATGCCTGGAGGTATGTTAATGCCTTAGACCGGAACCTAGAAGATTTTAAATCTTGGATTGTTAGAGTTCTTGAACTTGGATTGGATGTTTTGATGGATATGGTGTACTGTCGTTCATCACTTATTATTTGGAATACGATGAAAAAGATTGATAGCTTCAGAAATGTTGGCGTTACTTCTATTATGTATAATCTAAGTGGGTTGGGATGAGGATTTACTGGGAATATTACAGAATATGTTGGTTATTTTACTAGTGTTGAAGCTTACATGTATCAGATGTTTGTCAAGGATCTCACGCTGGGTCACTTCCCAGATGTCATTATAGTCGGTGAAGAGGTTAGGGGGCTGCCATCAGTTTGTATACCTATTCAAGGAGGTGTAGGTTTTGACTACCTGTTGCACATGGTCAGTACATCATCCTTGCCTATTTTAGATCCACAGGTTTCATTTAATGGGACAAAATTTGCTTTTGGGAAACACAGTGAGCTTAATGTAATGGACCTCCTCTACAACAACTTCCATCAATTAAAGTCTGGTGCCCAGGTAAATGTAATTGTGCATGATCTTGCTGAATATATATAGCCTTGGAGGAGATGGAAAGGAGTGGGTTATGGACATCAAGTATTTAGCATTTACAAAGGTTGACTATATGAGTATCTGATATACCTCTTTTCAAAATCATACACCAGGGTAAAAGTAGGACTGGTCCAGAGACACCAGAGAACCATGCTTACCCCTTTTCTGGGAAATCACATGCAAAAGTTCCACTTGGGGGTAGAGTTTTCACATGGAGGTCTTGTAGCCTGGATGGAGGTTGTGCGTGGAGGAAAGTTTGCTATTAATGATGAAGAGGCTGAAACAACAATGCACAATCAACAATCAACTTCTGGGATGCACTCGTTTACTGAATTTCAAGATATTTTTACCCCAAGGTTGAAGATGGACTTTCTGCTCAATATCCCGTCTATATCTCAAATGATGATCATCAATGCTATTTTCCATCTATTTCTGTCTGTTGCAATAAGCAAGATGAATAGGCAAGTGAGTTCTAGGATTGGTTTCACACATACCCTAGCAGAAGGGGAGGCACCTAAATATGAAGCATTCGAACTAAGGCGAGCAAGGTTTGAAGCAACAGTTTCAGAAATGGAAGGATGCTAACTTGGAGTGGTATAATGGTGGCAACAAGGGGTATGGGCTGCAAAGTCTTGAAGAAGTATCTGAAAGGTGCTTTATCATTGATACATTGGAGGGGAGGTGCTGGATGTGCATGCCTATGAGGCACGACAAAAAGAAAATGCAGTTTTGAGGCTGAATCCAAATGCTTTGTCTTCTGGGTTGAGTTCTTGGTCCTATTTTTGTAAAGAAAATGCTACATCTTATTGCTCAGGAGGTTGGGGGTGAAAAGAATGCATACCACGTGAGTGGATATTGTTAAATGTGACTCAAGACTTTTCAAAGGCAATGACCAAGCTCCAGGAAGAGGTTGATCTAGAAAGAAAAAGATCAAAGTGCGATGGTCCAAGCAATGAAAACAATGATGAAAAATGTCTTAGAGTTGATAAACAATCAGGGAGATACTGGGAAGGTAGAGACACAAGGATGAAGATGATGGTCAAGGCTGTTTCTTATCACCCACCTTGAGGAAAAGGTGGTTGTTTAAGGGGAAAGATATGATAGGATCCAAGCAGATTAGGCTAAGAATAATAATAATAATAGTAGTAGTATAAATAGAAGGTAAAGGGGAATAAGAGGTAGGCTGGTATTATCTTGGGCTTGGGACATCGGAGAGATGACACTCTTTAAGCCTTTGTATTTTGTCTCTCTGTTTGTATACAATAGTTCCATTGTTACGTAAAGTCTATTTCCTTCATCTTTTACTCTCAAAATCTTTGTAAATTGGAGCATTGCCTATCAGAACGTTATAAGTAGAGTTGTGTGATGACATTTGTTAATTTTAGCTAATATACTTTAGAATATCTACGGAATGTTATTAAAAAAAGAAGGTTCTAATGATGGTTAAAATACCCAAGGAAAACAATAACAACAACAACATCCAAGCCTTAATCCCAAAAGATTTTGGAGTCGGCTAACATGAATCGATCCATGATATCAGAGCCAAAAGAGAAGAAAGAAGAATAAAAAATATAGTAAGGTAAATTGGATAAGATAAAGATAAAATGATAGTATAAGATTACAATAACATAAGAACATTAGAAAGATAAAAGATAAAAAGATAAAGAGCATAAGAAAGATAGAAGATAAACATAACATAAGAATATAGAAAGAAAGATAAACGATAAATGAAAAATGAGAGAAATGAGATAGAAAAGAGATCAATCGTCCAATCAAATGTGCGCCCTCCACTTTGCTCTCTCCAAAGTCATACTCTCATCCAACCCTAGAAGACGCATATTTTTTATGATTCCTCTAAGAGAAAAGGGTCAAATAAAGCCTTCTACTATTATGAAATAGTCACATAAGGCCATGTACTCAATAAAGTGTCATATAAGTACATCTACTTCTAAAAAGCAATCAAATGAATCCTAATGACCTATTTAACACCTCTTAATTCCGGTTTCAACGTACTTCTGACATTCTTTTAAGAATACATTATACGGCATATGTTGAATATTTAACTAAGATTGGTTGAAATACAAATCAAAAAAATCGACATGTAAGCTAAAATCGGGATTAGGAGGTGTTAAATAAGCAGTTAGGACTCATTTGATTGCTTTATACAAGTAGAGGTACTTATATGACACTTTATTGAGTACATGGCCTTATGTGACTATTTCGTAATAGTAGAAGACCTTATTTGACCATTTTCTCTTCCTTTAATCCAAGTCTGTTTGGGTCTTCCTCTCCCTCTCCTTCCCGCCTCTTCTCCTCACCTCTCAAGTTGTCTAGCAGGCACATCACTCGGTCTTTTGTGCACATGACCAAACCACCGTAATCGAGACTCTTGCATCTTATCTCTATAGGTGCTACTCTCACCTGTTGTCTTTTCTGGTATGTCCACACATCCAACACAATATACACATCTCTGCCACACTCATCTTTTGAATGTGACATTGTTTCACTGCCCAACACTCTACGCCATACATTAGTGCATGCCTGATTGATGTGCGAATATGATGGAATAAAGCCAAATGGCTACTAAACTGTCTACGCTTCTGTGTTATGAAGCAGCAACCAATCCATGCAATTTTCGACACGATTTTCATCATGGGTCATTGGGACACAGTCTTTATGCTTTAGTACTGTTGATAAAACAAAGAGACATAATTAATCTAGGATTTATTTTCCTTATTATTACTGTAATTATGCTTCGGGTTGTAATTAATAACTGTTGTCTTTTCAGTTTATAAGCATTTATGTTTAGTATTTAGACAGTCCCCTAGGGTACTGAATAGACTCTCTCAGGCAGAAGCCTGCATATATTGGTCTGTACTTCTTGTAAATGAATCATTGAAGAATAATAATATACAGAAAACTTCATGGTATCAGAGCACGATCTTGTCTCAGACTCTTCATTGTTAATCATCTTTCCAACAGTCTACTAGGGTGTCTCTACCCGCCTCTCTTATTAATCTTCTGGTGCGCATCTCTTCATCGACGGTTCTATCATGTCTAAGGAAACTGAATCAACCTCAAGTCACCTTGACCACTCAACCATCGTTTCAGCTGCTACTGCAGCCGCGTTTGCTCTTCGAAACCAAAAATTTGATCTCCCTTCTATCCCGCCATCTTACCGTCTCAATGGCATGAACTATCTTGGATGGTCAAAGCTGGTTTACACTCTCCTACGTGGCAAAGATCTTGAAGATTATCTCACTGTCTCTACACCAGAAGAAGGAGATATTGATGCTGCTGTTTGGGAGAAAACTAATGCCAACATACGGGTCTGGTTATGGGACTCCATGGATCCCAACATTAGCAGTACATGTTTATACATGGATTCGGCTAAAGAAATCTGGGATTTCATACAGCAGTCCTACTCCGTTGCTAAAGATGGCACTTTTGTCTCTGACTTATGGCTCCAAACAACGAATCTTAAGCAAGAATCACAATCTGTCACAGAATATGCAACTGACCTCCAACGACGATGGTCTGAACTTGACCAATATCAAACAATGAAGTGGTCGAATGCTGCAGATGCAACTCTTCACAAGAACTATATAAATCAACAACGTCTATATTGCTTCTTGTCTGGTTTAAATCCCGAATATGATCAGACTCGGGCTCAAATACTTGACATTACTCCTCTGCCTTCCCTATCTTCTGCCATTGCCACTATCAAACATGAAGAGAGTAGACATAATATAATTATGAATACAAAGCTGATTGACAGTACGACCCTTGCTGCCAAATCTACTCCTTCAGATGTTAAGGAAATTAAGGGTAATAAGGGAGGAAGATGGTGTGATCATTGCAAGCGGTCCAACCATAATGTGGATAGATGCTGGAAACTTTATCCTCATCTACAGAAAGAAAAGGCCAGGACAGACATGGAACTAGTGCTGGACGTGCTAACTCAGTCACTCCCACCAATGTTGAGAGCTCTACTAATCTCTCGCCCATTTCCCTGGGGGAAATACAGCAACTTCGTATGATGCTACAGTCTCTTGATAACTCAAATGGTTCTGGTCATAGCTCTTTGGTCTTGCAAGGTAAAACCTCTACTATTTTTTGTCTTAATGCTTCGCAACAGAGTTCACAATCACAATGGATATTAGACTCAGGTGCCACATCTCATTTGACTGCTGTACCTTCTTTACTCTCTAATTATCGTCCATGTTTTACATCCACACACATTACTACTGTTGATGGGACACCTGCAGAGGTTGCAGGACTTGGTATGGTTGTTTTTTTCTGAAAAATTAAATCTGAAAAACACCGTACATGTCCCAAACCTGGCTATGAACCTTGCTTCTATTTACAAACTCACTGTTGATCTTAATTGTGCTGCCATTTTCTTCCCTTCCCACCGTTTATTACAGGATCTGCACACGGGGAGGACGATTGGAATTGCTAAACAAAGAGATGGCCTGTACTACCTTGATGCACTGTTCATCTCCAAACCTCCACAAAAAGCTCTTACCTCAATCAGTGCCAATAGCCAATACCAACACTGTTTGGCTTCACCACATGCGACTTGGTCATCCCTCTTTTCATGTCCTAAAAACCATATTCCCTAGTCTTTTTAATAATGTTGATGTTTCTACATTTCAATGTGATGTCTGTGAACTTGCTAAACAGTCTCGTGTATCTTTTTCCAAAAGTAATACAATTAGTTGTTCTCATTTTGATACTATACATAGTGATGTCTGGGCCCTGCTCCAATTACTAATATATCTGGTGCCCGGTGGTATGTTACATTTATTGATGACCGTACACGTTTTATCTGGTGCCCGGTGGTATTTTCCTTATTATTACTGTAATTTTGCTTTAGGTTGTAATTAATAGCTGCTGTCTTTTCAGTTTATAAGCATTTATGTTTAGTATTTAGACAGTCACCTAGGGTACTGAATAGACTCTCTCAGGTAGAAGCCTGTATATATTGGTCTGTACTTCTTGTAAATGAATCATTGAAGAATAATAATATACAGAAAATTTCAAGTACCATACTTGTCACGGCGTCGCCTAGTCGGCGACTAGGCATCTTGGTGCTAGGGAGCTCGCTGTCTTCACTCGCCTCACCAGAAGAAGATTAGTCGCGATAGGCGTCCTCCGGGCGTCGCCTAGGCGCGATTTTGCGACAAGCCGTCGCCTTTTTTGCCGGTCAACAACCGTCCGCAGGCCCAGAAAAAATAGATTTTGGCTTTTAATTGAAAACAAACCCTAAAGGTATCTGATAATCATACGGACTATTTGTTTCCATCGTCATCTAACTCAAGTCGTAGAGACTAGCGAGACAAGTCGGAGGAATCAAATGAACCGCAACAACTCCAGGAAGCAGGAGAGCTCGCGCGTCTCGCCCTCCCTCAGTCCCTTGCGTAAGCATATTTGCGCTGAGGAGATGACCATTACATTCTATATTTTTTCTGGTCTAGTGGAGTAATATTTTCATTAATTGAGTTGTATATTTATATAAATACGTATATACAGAGTACTTTGTAAACATGGTATGCGTAATTATGCCCACATATACTGTGATGATACTGAATTGTTGAATTGGTTTTCAGTACATTATTAATTATTACTCCATAATTATTAATTTATTATATGTTTTAAAATAATAAACTGTTAAACTATTAATAAAAACAAAAACTATTATATATAATGACGTATACAAATTACAAATATATTATATACTTTACTGAGTTAACGTAGTTTAACTTTTTGTAAAGTATATAAAGATGTGAAAAATGAAAATAATTAAATGTGTACTTTACGTTTTGTAATATGTTAGTAATATAAAGAAATACTCCCTCCGTCCCGCAATGAACTTCCCACTTTCATTTTTTGAATGTCCCAGAAACAAGTTCTCATTTCATTAAATGGCAAGTTAATCTACATCAAAACAGTGTCAAATAGTGCAAAACAGTGCAAAACAGTGCAAAACACTGCCAAACAGTGTGGAAACAGTGTCAAAACAGTAAAATTTACCCCATGGTAAGTTTATTTCCTTAATATGTGTGTAGGTCAAACTGTGAAGTTCATTGTGGGACGGAGGGAGTACAATTTAATTAGTAATGTATTATATATAAATATATATATATATAATTATATATATAATAAAATATAATATAGAATGTGTGACTAGTCGCCTAATAGTTGCCTAGGCGGGCGCCTTATCGCCTAGGCGATATGGCGGTCGGCTGGCGCCGCGACTCGACTTACCGCTGTGACAAGTATGTTTAGTACATGGGTAAGGTTGCGTACATCTGACTACCTTTACCCCATCGTAGGTGGGATTGGGTAATGTTGTTGTTGTTGTATCCAAGGAAAACAGTAAGGGGACAATTTAAGGGGATGTTACATTAAAGACAAGAAAAACATTTGACAGACTGGGAGCATGGCCCAAGAAAGTTTTAGTGTCTGTTGGATGGGAGAGCTGTGGCATCGAGTTCCAGCAGCCCATTAATAAAATCCGGTGGGTCACTGCTGCTGTGAAAATTTCTGAAGCCAGAAGAAGCTAGACCAATCTGCACCAGGTTGTGTGCGACAGATTTTGTTTCACGATAACAGTGAGCGATCTGAGAGTTGAGCGCTCCATGAAGGACCATTATGCTGCGACTGGAAGGTTGGAGTGAGGCTGGGGGAGTGTGCGCATTGTTGAGGATTTTGCAAGCCAATTTCATATTTGATTTTATTCAACCATTGGTTAGCATACATATGTTGTTTTTTTGGTTAAACGTGTTCTCAGTTTAAAAGGGATTCTAACTAGAACCCTCCCCTATATATGTATTTGTATGAAATATATAAATTTATTTTCAATGAGCTGTACTGACAGTGGCAGACAACTATGGTGCAGAGGATCCTAACCACATTCAAATGTGTTCTAATGTGCAACCATAATCTCTAAAAATTCACTGTGTAAATTGCTTTTAGGATTTTCTATGGATCTTTTGTGTTTAATAGCAAATCAGTTATTAGATATGGTTCGGTTGAATACACGCGTGTATGTGCTTCTCTACACCCACACCCACACGTGTCCGCACATTGGGCTGGAGTGTGGGGTATAGTTTGCTTTTGTGATTGGTGTACACTACATTCTGCTTACTGTTTCTTTTATTATCCCTTTATGCAGCTAAATGTAATTGTCATTTTATTTGTCCACCAGATTCTTTCTATAAGAGATGAACTTTTCCAAACGTTCAGGAAGAGGGAGAAAGGCGCAATCGAACTTGAAGAAGTACAAATAACTGCCAACTCTCTACACAGGTTTGTGAAACCACTGGCACAATCTCTTAAGTTGTCAGTCAATGTTATTGTCTTGTTGATATCGTTATATCACACGTGGCGCCATCAAGTTTTTCATATGACAAACCAACCCAAGTTAGCATGGTAGTATCAGATATCCCACCCGTCAACCTGTGGAACTTACTAATGTTTCCCTTTTGTTAGACCTTATGGTTCTTTTTAGTTTCATTATGTGACTAAATTGAACATATACCTCTCCTAATTAGATTCTCACCGTCTCAAGCCAAAGTGTACACCCTAGTGCCGATCATCGGTTGCATTGTTTTGTATGTGCAAATAGAACTTTGATGTACAAAGGTAGTTAATATTGCTGAAGTGTATCTTCTTCCTGTACCTGAACATTATTCATATATATTTGAGAAATGGTTTGCAGAATGTTGCGAGCTTTCACTGAGCAGACAAAAGGTGACAAGCTTCCAGAGGATGCCACAGACAATGAAATGCTAGAAGTCGTAATGGAAAGGTGTGACCCACTTTTTTTGCTGATGTTAGCCTTTACAAGTAGAAAATAATGAATTCAAGTAATACCCTTGGAGCATTGTTGCTTTCATAAATGTTAGCTTGCATACTCCTCCACAAAAGAGTAAAATATTATATAAAAGTATGCTAAGGTGTACAAATACCTTATCTTGTATGCATTAAAATCTTTAACGTTTTCTGAGAACACTTTTTGCCTAAATTGCGGTCTTGTACTTGTCAACTGGTGATGCAAAATGTGAGCATACAATGATATCGTAAATACACTGAAAGTGGTTCTTATGTTAATGTAGATATGAAAAAGAACTTACACATCCAATCCAAAATCTTCTCTCTGGGGAGCTTGCCCGTGCGCTACTTATCCAGGTAATGAGACCCTCTTACTCCCTCACATGCTAATACCAGAGTGAGCATTCTAGTTTTCTAGAAAATCATAAATTGATTTGTTTCTGGTTTGTAAATGTAACATTTTTTTATGATTTCAGGTGCAAAAGCTAAAACTTGACATTGAAGAGTGAGTTAGTAAATATAACATTGCTGTTATCCAGAATTTCTGGGACATCAATTTGTTTTTGTTGTTTTTTTGATAGATGTTTTTCAAATCAGGGCAATGCTTGAGTTGGATCAAATTCTTAGAGCAAATGAAATCAACTTTGCTATTCTAGCTGCATTACCAGCCTTTTTCCTCTCTGTTCTTGTTATGATGTTGCTTAGAGCATGGTTTAAACAGGTAATAGTAGTCTCTTTTTCTTTTTGTGTTCTAGTTTCATTTTATTTAGAGGATAAGTATTTTCCGATTTTCTTGTGTTTGGCACAACTCTATAGATTTGTGAAAACATTTTCTTGAAACAAAGCTAAGTTTTTTGTTGATGTGGATTTACGATCCTATTATGAATTGAACAATTTTTTTCCACATGAAGTTATATTCCTGGAAACAAACAGAGCCCTAGTTCAGAATAAATGGGCAAAGCTTGTGGTTTGTGCACTTGAGCAGGTTATGTAATTAGCTCATTTCCAAATCTAGAAATACGTTTTGAATTATGTCTCTTAGTGCTGTAAAACTGCATCCCGTGTCCATAAAGAATGGTCACCTTTTCAGAATTGACCGCAGCTACTAAACTTGAACTGAAGGGGAAAAATGAAAGTGAAACTGAAACTGCATGGAAAAATTGGCCACACATTCTTGGAGGGCCACACATTCTTGGAGGTGCTACTAATGAACTTTTTTAAACATCAAATTAGGATACAAGAGCTGAAGGTAGGGGAAGAGTTGCTAGGATCCAAAGAAGGCTTCTTGTTGTAGAAGTTGAGAGAAGAGTTATGCAATTAGAAAGTTGCAATTATAAAGGACGAGTAAGAACACTCCTCTCGAGCTTTACATATTTTTGGCTTTGAATGGTTTTCTTTTTTGATTCATACTCCCTCTGTCCCATTTTACTTGTCTTACTTTCCTTTTTGGGTTGTCCCAAAATAAGTGTCACATTTCCCTTTTTGGAAAGAAATATGTGGTCCACATCATTTTACTTTATTATACTCAAATTTCAACCACAACTTTTACCTTTTCAACCACTTTATTAATAGTTGTGCCAAAGTTAAATGAGACACATCAAATGGGACGGAAGTAGTAATATTTAACGTTTGCAGTTGTATTCTGGAATGAAGAATGTAAGTCACACACTCACTCACACATACATTGCCCTCCTAATGATCCTGGAGTTTTCTGAATTTTATTATTGATAGAACTCACTTTTACATGAAGTATAGCTGCATATTTATAGAAAACTAGTCCTAAGAAGTGTCTGTTCAGTACCCTAAGTGACTGTCCAGATACTGAAAAATAAATGAATATAAACTGATTAGACAAGTATTAATTACAACGTGAACATGCACCACAGACTCACTTAAGCCTCATTATTACAGAAAAAAGACTCTTCTTTTTCTCAACAGATGCATCAACAGTCCCCCTCAAGCTAGGTTTGTAGATATCCTTCATGCCTAGCTTGACAATAAGACTTTGGAACCTAGGACTATTAAGAGGTTTGGTAAACACATCTGCAACTTGATTTTCTGAGGGAATGTAGCTTAGTTCAACCAGACCTCCTTCAACCTTTTCTTTAATGAAATGTCGATCAATCTCAATATGCTTGGTCCGATCATGTTGGACGAGATTACGAGCTATGTTAATTGTTGATTTGTTATCACACTTCAACTCCATTGGTCCCTTCCATCTTATTGTAAATCGGAAGAATAATTATGAGCCAAAGAATCTCACACAGGCCATGGGCAAGTGCTCTTAGCTCAGATTCAGCAGATGATCGTGCCACAACATATTGTTTTTTGCTTCTCCATGTCACAAGATTTCCTGCCAGTAGTTGATCGGCGGTCAACAAGAGAGCCCCCATAATTTGCATCAGTGAAGGCTTGGACCGATAACTGCCCCCCTTCCTGAACATTATTCCTTGTCCTGGACTTCCATTTAAGTAGTGTAGAACCCTATAGGCTGCTTCTAGATGCGATTTCTAGGACACTAACTGCATAAGCAATGTCAGGTCTGGTATGGGAGAGATAGATAAGTTTTCCACATAGACGTTGATACATTGTTGAATCAACCTTGGGCTCATCAGTAGCAAGACCAAGCTTATGATTGGGATCAATAGGTGTAGTAACAGGTCGACAAGCACGCTTACCAGTTTCACTCAACACATTTGTAATGTACTTCTATTGACCGATAAAGATACCTTCAGATTGAGCGGGCGACATCAATTCCAAGAAAATATTTTAGAGAGCCAAGGGACTTCATCTCAAATTTGGACTTCAGCTTCTTCTCAAGACGTTGTTTCTTAACTGGATCATTACCGGTCAAAATTGTATCATCCACATATACTAAAAGAATAGTGACTCCACCTGTGCAAGAGTGCTTGTAAAAAAGAGTATGGTCACTCTGACTTTGACTATAACCAACACCCCTAACAACTTGGGTGAAACGGTCAAACCAAGCACGAGGGAATTGCTTGAGATGATAGGGGGCTTTTTTTAGTCAACATACATGTCTAGAGGTGCGTAATGAAGTTTTATTGAAGCCTGGGGAATGTGCATGTAAATCTCATCATTCAAGTCACCATGGAGGAAAGCATTCTTGACATCGAATTGCAATAAAGGCCAATCAAAGTGAGATGCCTAGGATAATAGGATACGAACAATATTGAGATTGGCTACAAGAGCAAAGGTCTCTTGATAGTCAATCCCATACATCTGAGTGTATCCTTTATAGCCACAAGGCGAGCTTTGTGTCGCTCAAGAGATCCATCAGCATTGTATTTAACAGTAAAGATCCACCTGCAACCAACAACATGTCTTCCAGGAGGTTTAGTCACAATATCCCAAGTATGGTTCTTTTCAAGAGCTCTAATTTCCTCTTGCACAACGTCCCTCCATTCTTTCTTTCTTAATGCTTCAAAAACAGAGTTGGGAATGGAAAATGGATATTTCATTGGGTTTTTGAACAAACAAGGCATGAGAGGAGAAAAGTTATCAAAGGTAACAAAATTAGCAAGAGGATATAGAGGTGTTTTAGTACATTAGCGTACACCTTTGCATAAAGCAATTGGAGGAGAGGGTGGTGGAGAAGAGTCAATACCTGGGTCAGCCGATTGGTCCTGCGTCAACAATGGAGTGAAGATGTGTTTCCTTGAATACAATTTTGTCACTGGTGGAGGTGAAATTGAGTCATGAGTGGAGGATTTAGTAGGTGTAGGAATGGAGTGGTCTTGTGGTGAAGTTGATTCAGGTTCGGAGATGTTGAGGCCTGTTGTGAACTAGGTGATGTGGGTGAGATATCTAAAGATGGTGACGTGTGATTAGGTGGTGATGGTGATGGGATGTTTGCTGATAATGGCTTAGAAGTCACTGGTGGAGGTGAAAGTGAGTCATGAGTGGAGGATTTAGTTGGTGTAGGAATGGGGTGGTCTTGTGGTGAAGTTGATTCAGGTTCAGGAGATGTTGAGGCCTGTTGTGAACTAGGTGATGTGGGTGAGATATCTAAAGATGGTGACGTGTGATTAGGTGGTGATGGTGATGGGATGTTTGCTGATAATGGCTTAGAAGGGTAGGAGATTGTATGTGCTGAAGAAGGTGTAATAGTAAAGGTGGGAAGAGATGGAGGAGACGGGGTATCTTGAGATACAGGGAGAGAATTAGGACTGAAAAAGGGATGTCTTCGTGAAAGATACACTTGATAGATCGTGGGTCCAATTTCCCCCTATGAGGTGGAGGAATATGAACAAATGCAGTACACCCGAACACCCGTAAATCAAGATCAGAAGAAATTCTAGTTTGAGGAAAGAAGTGACGAAGAGAATCAAGAGTGACTTGTTTTGGAGTACACGAGTGGGTAGTTTATTGATGTGATGACATGTTGTGAGTGTGCTTTCCCCCAATAATGTTTAGGCATATTTGATTGGAACAATAAAGCCCGACTTACTTCAAGGAGATGGCGGGATTTTCTTTCTGCAGTGCCATTTTGTTGAGGTGTGTATGTACAAGAGGACTCATGAACAATACCTTTCGAGAGGAAATAAGAGGAGACCGTTTGATTGAAGTACTCAAGGGTATTATGAGTATGGAAGCGTTTTATAGTGGTAGAGAACTGATTATGAATCATATTGCAGAAGATAGGAATAATATTGCTTACCTCACTCTTGTTTTTTAAGAGAAAAACCCACATAAAACATGTACGTCATCTATAAATGTAATGTACCACCGGGCACCAGATATATTAGCAACTTGAGCAGGGCCCCAAATGTCACTATGTATAATATCAAAAGGAGACGACTTATTGTATTACTTCGGGAAAAAGATACACGAGATTGTTTAGCAAGTTCACATACATCACATTGTAAGGTAGAAACATCAATACTAGTGAAAAGACTAGGGAATATGGTGTTTAGGACATGGAAAGATGGATGACCAAGTCGCATATGATGAAGCCAAACAGTTTTGGTATTGGAAGTGACTGAGGTAAGAGCCTTTTGTGGAGGTTCGACAAATAGTGCATCAAGATAGTACAGGCCATCTCGTTGCTTAGCAATTCTGATCGTCCTCCCCGAGCGCAGATCCTGTAAGAAGCAACAAGAAGGGAAGAAAATAGTAAATCAGTTAAGATCAACAATGAGTTTAGAAATAGAAGCAAGGCTCATAGCCAAGTTTGGGACATGTAAGGTGTTTTTCAGATTTAATTTATCTGGAGTTCGGGGAATACAGAGCTGATCTCCCTTAAAAAGGTAGCCCTCATTAATATGAAAATCTGCACTCGGATGGAGATCACGACACTTGGTCTATAATTCGTAAAAATCGGTGTCATTCTCATACAACTCTTTCAGCAACTCAAAGCCTATAATTTTCTGGGCTAATGTGATTAACAAGGACGCCCCCTACTCAAGTCATCGACTACCTTGTTCTGAATCTCAGACTTATGTTGAATAATAACGGGAAATTTTTGCAGATAACCCACCCATCGTGCGTGAATCTTGTTTATTATCTTCTGGCTGTGGAGAGCAAGATGATCAATGAATAGGACAAACTCCCTTTGGACCAAATGATGCTCCCATTGCTTGAGAGCACGAAACATTGCATAAAATTCTTGGTCATATGTACTCCACTTCTGTCTGGCTTTACTTAATTTCTCACTAAAGAAAGCCACAAGCCGCTTTTCCTGTGAGAGTACAACACCTATCCCGATGCCACCCGCGTCACACTCAACTTGGAATATCATATCAAAATCGGGCAAAGCAAGAACCGGTGCAGTGCAAAGCTTTTCTTTGATGAATGCAAAACTCCGTTCTTGCTCAAGGCCCCAACAAAACTTTCCTTTTTTGAGACAAAGGAGCTGCAATAGTAATGAAATTCCGCACAAAGCGCTTGTAGAAAGTGGCTAACTCGTGGAAGCTGCGTACCTCGTTGACAGACTTAGGAGCTGGCCAATCTCTTTGTGAAAGACATTATAGAATATTCTTTAGAATATGTTTTAGAATATTTTAGGAATATACTCTAGGATATTATTATTGTATAGAATCTTAAAGGAATATTCTTCTTTTCTTTAGAATATGCTTTAGAATATTTTAGGAATATACTTTAGGATATTATTATTGTATAGAATCTTAAAGGAATATTCTATCTTTGTAATGTATATATATGGGCTTGACCCTCCAATGAAAGACACACAAAAATCATTCTTCTCATTACTATTCTATCTTTAATTCTTACAACATGGTATCAGAGCAATCTGTTCCAGTTTAGCTTAGCAGTATTTTTCAGAATCTCAGTTCATGCCTCAGCCAGAACCTTAGCCCAAAATTCAGAACCTCGGTCCAAAATTTACAGTTTCACAGAGCATCACCTCCACCCAAA